TTAACAACACTGTGGAAACACAGATGTAATGAGCATCATTTAAGCACGTGACTAAGTTCAGCTCCTCGATAAGAAGGTACGAAGAATACAATCAGCCTCGGTGCAGGAACTCATGAAGCCTGCTCAGACAGCCAGCGTCGACTTCATTGATGACTACTCATCTCATCAACACACCTATGATTCTCAATGTGATCTCTCCGCGTGAATTTCCGACCACAAACTGTGCAGGCAAAATGTTTCTCCCCAGTGTGTGTTCTTGTGCCTGCTTTATGCTTGTCTTATGAGAGAATCTTTGGCCACAATCTACACAGGAAAAAGGTTTCTCACCAGTGTGTGTTCTCGTGTGTTCTTTTAATTTTCCCTTCTCAGAGAATCTCAGACCGCAAATTGTGCAGGCAAATGGTTTGTCCCCAGTGTGTATTCTTGTGTATTTTTGGAAGTATTTTTTGAGACAATTTTCGTCCATAAACTGAGCATGCAAAAGGTTTCTTAGCGGTGTGTGTTTTTGTGTGTGTTGTGCAACGTCCCGTAAAAGAGAATCTTTGACCACAAATTGAGCAAGAAAAATATTTCTCACCAGTGTGTTTGAAGCTGCTGCTTAGAGGCTCCCCCCATCTGCTGACATCACTTTGATCTTCATCTTTTCTTTTCAAAGGGACACCAGGTGATGGCCACTTGCCGATATCCTCCTCCTCTTTGATGTAGGGGGGCTTATCGCCCTCCTCTTTCACACGAGGATGCTCCGGCTCCTCCTTCACTTTTTTGATGTAGGGGGGCTGCTGCTCCTCTTCCTCTTTAAAGCGGGAGACCTCTTTTTCCTGTTCCTCCTTCTTAAGAGAGGGCTCTGCATTCAGCCGATCAGGACAAGCATTTTCGCTGATGTCTGAAAGACCCAAGAAGACAGACACAATATAATGGTTACATTCAAAATTGTTAGTGGAAGAGCTCGATGAGTTTCGGGAACCACCTACGATTTGGCCTCAATAAATTGACATCCTGTTGGATACTGGTTATTTATGGAAACACTTGCAAAGCATCACTGGTGAAAAGAAGTGTGATTCAGTGAAGTCTGAAGGTTGCCCTGCTTTCAGGATCGTGGTGTTTTCATGAAACATGAACAGTGATCCCTCGCAATATTGCCCTTCATTTATCGCGGTTTCACTACGTTGAGTTTTTTTTTTCCCCCAAACTACTGTATTCAAAAAAAAAAATGCTGAATGACTAAGAGGTTTTGACCATGAAAGTATGGATGATTGGTTCCCGGCGCGGCGTCGACCAATGACAGCAGGAGTGGATTGATCCCATGAGCTGATTGACTGCGCATCTTCGCAGGCCCTGTTGACTCTCTGAATAGTGTCTCCTCATGCTGGCGACTTTTTGAACAGTGTCTCATCATGCTATCGTGTTTGCTACATGTG